AGAAAGACCGAATTTTTAAAACGTTTTGGCTAAAAGTGCCAAAATGAAAAGAATGTGGCTAAAATTGCCAACCCGTCTAAGTTAGTGGCTAGTTTTTGCAATTTAGCCATAATTACATTTGGGAAAATGATACATGCAAATGATATTGTTTTTTTTTTTAGAAAAAAAAATAGTAATTCGGTGTGGGGCACTTTATTAGACGCATAGTTGTATTTCACTTTTTTGTTGTGAGCCATTTTACAAACAAGATTGAAACGTATATTTGATTGCGAGTGCGCTAAACATTGATGAATTTGAATAAGAACTGTAAAATGCAAAGTAATAGACCAAAGATTTAAACAACTTTTCAGGGAAGCATCCCACCTCCCCTCAGAGCTCTTTGATTGATAAATCGTACAAAGACATAGTTTAGACTTACAAGACTCGAAATCCCTTCTAGTCTAGCCACAACTATTCACGATCCCTTCAACTATTTCTCCGGCCACGTCCCATGGAATTTTAAACCTACACTTAATCCCTAAGTGTAAAACACAAAATAGTTTGAGTGAAAATAAAAAAAAAACAAACTAAACAGCTTCAGTTCTTGGATGCGTAAGAACCCTCGAACTGAACTGTGAACAAAAACTAATGTAACAGAATATCTATCTCAGGCTCGGGTATTGCTCTAAGTATATATATATCATCAGCAGCCGCAATAGGAGTTTGTCTTAGGGTATTTATACAATCTCTTTAGTGTTGGAGTCTTCTCCAAGGCATATGACTCCTTATGTGATTTCCTTCCATATTTGTAGCATAAGTTAGGCAAGTGGATTTTCTCTTCTCTCTCTCCATAATCTCCTCTTCATGCAAACATCTATTTTCCTCTTTGCCATAGAATCTGATTCTCTACAATAAAAATACCATAATAAGATCCATGCAAATCTTATATATGGAATACAAAATAAACTAAGTATGGAAATAATATAAACAAAGATCTTCCTTTTTTCTGTGGTTCTAGGTGCTTGTTCGAACATGAGAACTAATGCCAAATAAAAATATCTTTCAATCTCCCCCTTTTGACATCTAGTTCAAAAACCAGTAGACGTAGAATTTTCCTGAAAAAGTGAGAACAACAAGCACCAGACAAAGACAAAAGAAATCATTAAGGGGTTAGTTCAATTTATCTCATAAATGATGATTGTGAATAAACACAGTTCTTCCCCTTAGTTCCTGCAAGCAGCCATAACAAACTCATAACCAGATCAATAAAACAAACTACCAATCATTCATAATAAGCACCCAACCAGCAAAAGTAACAAGAGTTTATCAAAACAACCACAACCAGTAGCAAATAAAATATGAGGTTCTAATTACATTAGACCTCCCTACATCCCTCCAAAACACTAAAAAAAATAAATAAATAAATAACTACTCCCCAGCATCATACTTCTCGATGGCTTCGTCAGTCGAATCTCCCCTAGAGTCAGAGTCCTTATCATCTTCAGCAGCAACACCCTTCTTCTTTTGCCCTTTCTCCTCCTTTTTCGAACTACGGGATGCCGAAGGGCCTGTCCTCGA